TCTAAACTTTCAAAACATAGCAAGAAAATCTTGGAAATACTGAATATCAGAGAATAGATGAGCGATCAAATGACGAGTTGCTTGATAGTATTCGCAAGATTCTAAATAGAGTTGCGACTTGGGTGTTATCATGTTTATTCTACTCAAAATCAGATGCGGCAGAATGTCTTCTGTAATGTTAACGACAAATTATCGCGTAATTATTCACATCGATATTCGAATAATGATTTTCCAAGGTCAAGAATTAGAACCATACAGTTCAATTAAAAAACATTGTATTCAACGTAGTTTCTTCTCATCCTTATAGTATTAGTCATGCAGGTTCTTCTAATATATTATCGAGTTTAATGCAATTTAAGTTTCGAGTTTCAGATAGCGATATACTGAGTTATTATTTGCAATACAAACGTTCTTTATTGTCTAATATTATTAACGCATCTTGTGTCAGAGGAATTTACACGCAAGCATAAATTTTTGCTATTACGATCAAACCTTGGAAACCCGATTACTGCTCAAAAACCGATATCAATACTTTTTTCAATTCCCATGTACGATTTATATTGATGAATACCGATAATAAATATGGATCTCGGAAACTGGGTAACCGATATTGCAATACTCATAATGAAATTATCCACGTCATCTACACTCAAAACCTGTCATTCGCTTAAAAGTACAATATTGCTATCTAAATTTTGATCTTTAATTTATAATCCAATTTTAAACTGTGAAGTTAATACTCGTCATATGTGCAAATATGCCCGTATTGTCACCCTCCTCTACTATCTTTATAACGAGTAATAATAATCAGACTATTAACTATTACGAATGGATACTTGTTAACGACTTGGTCGTTCTTAACGTTGCCCAGTATCATGTGATTCACGACATTCTATTAAGCAACGACGACAGGGGGTTAGTCTCAATACGCCATACTCAGAGCTCATTCCCCCTTGGGTGGCTCGGAACCCTTCACTCACGGAATACAGTTGTCATCACAAACTTGAGACCATATCGAGTATGTCTCAGTATGTACAGTGCCTGGACATATCATCGAAAAAATTAATGATTTTTATCACATACTTTTTACTAATACTAAGTAAATTACAAATGATGCTCTAAGTAAAGTTATTGACAATATTAACGCGCATGTATTCTACACATTTCATGAAGGAAGGTTCAATATTAAGCGAAATATGATTACGTAAAGTTGTACTAACAATTTTCGAACTTGGTTGTCGAACTTCGATCATATGACAACTTTGAAAGTTTCAACGTACAGTATCTTAGTATCTTATATACGAAGTTTTTTTCTGTCGAAACAAGCTATACGCTCATAAAGACTATACTCCAACGACTGCCCCACAAAATAGACACTTTTTTGATTTTGATATAAAAAATTCCTCAAAAATAGTTTTACATATGCAACCCCATTATTTGTCAAGGAAAACGAAAAAGTGTCTCTATTTTCTTGTAGAGCAGCTTTTTGTGTATGTAGAAATGCAGACTTTAAGAGTATAACTTGTTTCGTTCAAAAGTTATCGAGGTTTGAAGTTTGTATGTTTTTACTATCGAAAGACCGCACTTTTATAGTCGTTCAGCATATTCTGCCATTCTTCAAATCATCGTCGATTATAACTACGTGTAGATCATGGAGGGTGTGCACTTAGCTCTAAGTCCCAAGCTTGGGACCTGCACTTATGGAGGGTGCACTTGTAGAGGTGTTATTATGGTGTGTACGATTAGCGTGACGAGTTGCACCAACTTTTCCCCGCAGCGTTTCCGTTTCACAGCCGCTCGATAATTATTGGATCAAATAACGGAACAGATTTGGATATAAGCGGACAGATTTCGCCGGATGCGGACAGAATTGTTTCGTTCATATATTTATTAGGTTTAGAGTATAGAACAGCGCAGTAGGCGCAGAACTCGAAATAGATATATAAGCAGTCGTAATTTCCTTAGTATTAGCAAACGGCGTCTTCGGTGGAATAGATTCGATCTTGAATATCTGAATAAACATAATTATCCAAACTTATATTTTTGTATTCTCTGATCTATATTGTGGATCGCGATAAAGCATTGAAAACGCTTTCTTGATCGGTGATTGATAGAATCGACCTTGTCCTCGATACTATCGTCCCTTGACAATAAAGTTTTCTAATTAATTTAGTTAGCGCAATTGTTAGAATAGTTTCCCAACCTATAGGCTTTCGACATAATCCCACCGAGAGAAATAGACGTATTTACTCGAAATCCAGAGAAGGCGTACGCAAGAATCGAACCTAGCATCGTGAGCGTTTAAACCCAACTTAAAGGTCACCAACTGTCACAGCGGATTAACCGAAGTAGAGATAATCAAGGATCTCGTTGGAAAAAGGCCAAATCCCAAGGTCAATATTCGTTCCGCTCTCCCCCGAAAAGCCCCAAAGAGGCGATATTAGTATGTCAGACATAAGGGAAGAAGCTGATACTCAATCATACATTGGTTTTCCGATAAGGAATGCTATACAATCTACAAGAGAGATTGCTATTGTGGTTTCACCGAAGGGAAACTTTGTTGCTACATTCCATAATGATAATGATGTAGTGAAAGTATGGAGTTTGTCTGAGGAGACACTGGAAAAGAAAAAAGAAGCGGTTGTTAATGTGCATCAAGGACTTGCTGTTTCCGATTACGGATATCTGGCAGTCGGTCATGGTAAATTACCGAACTGATTAATGATGATCTGATTCAAACGATCGGGACATCGTTTATTAATACTTCTTTAATGTAGTTGTAATTTCTTTTGGAGAAGAAGAAGACCCGTCACTCGAACCAGAACTGGAGAATTTAAAAAGTTGGAGTTTAGAATCAAACGTACGTGGGCTCAGTCAATTTAACAACGTTCATTATACGTTTCTTCGGTCTCGTGAATTTGTTGTTGTGAATGATGTCGGCGTTCATCGATATGATTCTTCTGAAAACCGATGGAAAGTCAAGACGTCTGAATTTTACTGGACATCCGAATTAGATTGGACATCCGAATTTTACTGGAAACCCGAATTTTACTGGACATCCAAGATTTTCGAGATTTTCGAGATTTTCGGGAAATTTACACTTTTCTCGCCATATTTAGATTTATGGATATCTGCACTTGTAGGAGAGATTTTTTTCAATGGAGGAATTCCTCACAAGCCTGTTCGGTACTCTATCACTAACGAGAAATTAATATGTGTATGCGATAACTATCTGGCACAGTGGGACCTCACTAACGAAAAAAAGGAAATGGAATACTATATCGGGAATGAAACATTGGACTCTACGCGACAGAGAGAACGTGGTGAAGAAGATTACGTTATTGCAATAGACTCTGGGAATACTTTATCTGCATTCGTGACTGAGGATGACGATGCTCAGATATTGACAGTGTACTGGATACAAACTGGACTTCCAATGTCGACGATACGAGTAAAGAATGATACCGATGATTGGATCGTTGCTATGGAGTTTATAAAGACATGGGATTATCCATTGTTGCTAACAGTGACGAAAAGAGGAAAGGCTATGTTATGGTATCCGCACAATCTCTGCCAGAAACCTGCTAACGAAGGTTTTGGAACTCCACTAGATACAATTAATCTTCAAGAGTATGTTAGCCTGACTGAATGGAGACCTAAGCGGACATTTGTAATCAGTGGAGCAAAGATAATAGTAAAAACGGATGATGTACCTAAAGTCATATGCGCAGTAGAAGACCACATCGAAAACCTCAATAAGAGTCTATTCAAACACCCGCTAGGCGCTACTCCTATTCGGCACCTTTCATTAAAAAAAGACCCTTCACGTTCAACCATTTCGGTCAATCGTCTAGAAACAATTGACCTGGAAACAACAGATATTTCCGGGGCATCTCTCCGTTGGACTGTAGATCCACATTCTGGGCTTTGTGTTTATAGAAATTTATCCCCCGTCACTTCCATCAATGCTCAAGAGTTTAAATATTTTGGAAAGGTGACACGTTCAAAAATTTGGGATAACGGTGATCTAGTTATATTAACCACTAAATGTCTATGCATATTTTATCTCAGCGATAATGATACTATCGAACTTAGTTATTACTGGGATAATGGGATGAGGTTTGATAATGTGATCAATTATCTGCTTGAGCAGACAAACATTTCTCTCGAAGAAACAATGATTGATACCCTGTCACAGTTGCTTTACGCAGAGCTTAACGATGATGATAAACCATTGCCGCCACCTAATTTCAAAAGTATCTGGTGGCATAAGCGAAAAGCAGAAGAAAGTAACGATTTGACGAGAATTCGATTATTTGGTAATCTCGTTAACTTATTGAGAACGAGAGACAATCTGGCCAAGTATGGAAATATATTGCTCGCCGAAGCAATTCATCAGCGAGACGAAGATGTGGTCGAGTCTATAATCAAGACTTGTATTGACCTCTTCCGCGATAACTCAATTATGTATATTGGCTTCTTGCAAATTGTAACCGATTCACTACCAAAACTGTGGGTACACTATCCTGATAAAGCCGCAAAATATTTTTCAAATACATGTTTGATTTTGGCTCCACAATGTCACTCTGTACACAGTTTGATGCTACCTTCCAGTCGTATTTATGGTTTTGCATATAGAACAGGAAATCCGAGCGGACTTGTGAAGCGGAAAAAACTCGTTGTTATATCGGCGCGAACTATTTCGTGTCTTATTAGAGGGATGGTTTCACTTGAGGATGTGGCATGGCAGATTTTTCTCCCTTTGCTGACTTCCAATGCGATATTTGCAAAGTACCTACTGATATACACTCCCCTGACTGCAAGGATCAGCAAAATAGACCACTTTTTAGAAAGGTTTTTGCTTAATGTTAATATTAATGTAGGCCGTAAAAGACGGTCTACATTAACCCTCGTTGTTCGGCTGCCGAATTTTTGTTCATACCCTCAGCAGTATTCAGCTATGAAAGACCTCCTTTTTCCAGCACCGAGTCCATTTGTTAAAACTGTTATCAACAGAACACCAGAATTGTTTAGAACCTGGGATGGCGAAGCATTGATAGACTTCAAATGGCGAACATTTGGATTTGATTATTACATGCTCATTTGCGCACAATTTGTAACATTTTTTGTATGCTTCATAATTGCAATATCACAGACCGAGGATAGTGATTTGAGACGAAGTCTCTTCTTAACAGTTGTTGTGTTTGCTGTATGGCATCTTCATTTTGAAGTCAGGCAATTCGTATGGAACCCAATACGTTATGTCTTCTCACCATGGAATTGGTTCGGTAAGCTATTTATTTCATTATTTCATAACAGC